TTTATGAAAGAGAACACAAGTGTAAGGGTTCTGACTGTGGAAATTCACAGGGCAAACTCCCAGGGGTAACAGTCACCCTGTTTCCCATGCTTGGAATATTATGCAGTTTCTCCTAGAAACTAATAAGATAACTAATACATGTGCAATGTCTCGCTGCTGTAACAATGCCCTGCGTGAGGAGGCTCTGTGCTAGAGTCTTATCAGCCTTGACCTTGATCTCAGGCACATTTAGGTATTGGGAGTAAAGGAATTTGCTTGCTAGATAACTACAATGTTTCACCAAGCTCTGGTGCTCTTGGACCTGCCCACCTAACAGTAACTTCAGACAGTGGAATTTCTTGAGAGCTACACCAAGCTCCTAACATTGCAAATTGTAACTGTAGATTGTAACTGCAGAATAAGCCACTTTAGTGATCAATAAACAATAATGTAGTTATGGCACTAATGACCTAATGCAACCTAGTGGTATAAATAAACGTGGCCACTTAGATGAGTAGCTATTTTTCTGCCTCTGCATCTTATCTCTATGTCTCCTTTTATTTCTTTACACACAAGTGCCAAGGAACTTTCTCTTTGGCTAGGGGATGTCTCCCCAGTATTGTAGCTTCTAGCTCTTGAAGCCTCTAGTGGCCAGCAGCTTCTGCCCCTTTCTATGGATGACCTCTGGATTTAACTGCTGCCACACCAGTGTGGTCATAACATCTGTTTTGGGTGGCCATGAAAAAGATGCCAGCCCCCAGATCAGCCACCCTTACCATGTGACTTGCAATCCCTTGGAGAACATGGAACCCCTTTTTGTAATGAATCTTGAACTGTCTGTGTTAAACCCACCCTTCGTTAAAATTTGTGGGGAGGAAAATTGGGCCTCACTTAGAAGGGAGGATCATAGCTGAATCTAGTTTATATTTTTGGTGCCATTGGGGCTTTTAAAAACAAGGTCTGAGAAGTCCCTAGGCCTGCACATAGGAACCTTGGACTATTTCCTTCTTTTTTGCAGAATAGGCTAAGCTGTAGGATGGTATTAAAATCTTTATTTCCCTCTGATGGCCATGATTCTCTATTGGAGAGTTTGTAATGAGACCATGCTTGGCAGCAGAATAGCATTAGGGGTAAAGGATCGAATAAAGAGTTTAAGCTCACTGTGGCCAAAGGAATCTCCAGACGGTGAAGAGGACATCTAGTGACTGCTGAATGCTTAATGCCCTTATCTCCAGGGCATCTAAGCTAAAGGTGGGATTGAAAGGCTGTGGGTACAGATCTCCCATTTTGCAGTCCACGAAGCTTGTGGGGCACACAGGAGCTCATAAATAACAATAGAGAATCCCTACAGTCTTGTAGAGCCTTAAGTGTGAACAGGGAGAACCCAGGCATTTCCTTATGAACCACTCCATGGGAAATGTCCCTCTCTCAAGTGCTAGAGTCTGATGGGCAAGGGGAGGGGAGTGCTCAGGAGGAGCAAGCACGGGAGAGAGCAGTAGCGCTCACACAGAGGTGTATGTGTTGCTGGGGCATTTGCTCAGCACTGTTTGATCCACCAGTCGCCATTAAGATTCCACCCTACTAGGGCTGTTGGAAGGGGAGGTTGGGGGAGAAAACCTTTGAGATTCACTGGGGAGTTGCCCTGTCCAGAATCTCACAGCTGATTCCACCCTTTGTACCTCTATAGGCCTCTAAAGGCAAACTGGGGTTAGGGACGCTGTCTAATGACACCAGACAGCCTCTGAACCTGGATGCACAGTGAGAAATGGCTTCAGCAGAGCCCAACATATGAGACCCACAGGACAGGTGATTAGGAGCCACCTAGGCTGTGAATCCTGTCTCTCCAGTCTTGTAGAATGGTGGCTTGCACCAACTGCATTTAATTGGCTGATGGGTGTCCATTATGTCCTCCAGAAAGAAAAAAAAAGGGGGGTGAAGCTGTAGGTGAGGAGGAGCTCACCTTAGTGGTGATCCTGGATGAACCCCCATCTGATACCGGTCTTGAAAATTGGGATTGGGACCTCATTCACCTGTTCTGGAAGAGTAATCATTCAAGAAATGCCGAGGCCGTAAAACAAGTTTTATTTAAAGGAGGGGGGGTGAGGGACAGTGCTGCAGAGAGGAGAGGTCCAGAGCTGGTGCCCGAGAAAGTGGGAGGGGGGTGTCCTGGCCCTTGATAGGTTTTAGGTTTCTTTTCTTCTCATGCCCCTCCTCCTCTTATCTTGCCTATGTGGTGACCAAAAGTCAGGAAAGGAGCCACCCAAGGGGTACTCGTTAACAACTCCTTGCTGGGAGGAGCCATTTCCTGGAGGTGAAGGTGACCTTGGTGCCAGGTTTCGAGGAGGCAGAAGTTCTCTGGAGGTATCAGCATTTTATTTCCTTTTGAATTAGCCCCCCTCTTCCTGACCCAAACATTCATTACCTACACTGACCATCTGTCCCTTGCCTAGTCTCCAAGGCTGGGTCAGCGAGGCAGCAATGCGCAGAGTTGTGGCTTTGAGGAGAGACGGGTCACGAGTCCTCTGATCTCATTAATACATTAGCCCATTGATGGGTTTATGACTGAATGAATGACTGGGAAGCGACAGGAACTACAGAAGATGGGCCCAAGTTGGAGGAAGTGGGTCACTGGGGGAGTGTCTAGAAGGTTACCTCTTCCCCGTGATCCTTCCTGTCTCCCTCTGCTTCCTGGCCACTGTGAGGTGAGCAGCTCTGCTCCTCCATATTTTCCCGCCATGATGTTTTGCCTCACTAAAGGCCCAAAGGTACTGGGACAAATGACCTTGAACTGACACCTTGGTTACTCTGGGTCTACATAAATCTTTCCTCCTTTCATTTAATTTTTTCAGTTATGTTATCGCAGCAACAAAAAGCTAACACAAGTGCCCTGTATCCTAGTGCCCAGCACACCAACCGCACACAGCAGAGACTCAACAATACTTGCTAATTGCTTAATTAGTGTAATCTGTTGGTTTAGGTGAATTTAATGGCCCATTTTTAAATCTCTCCCTTTCTCACAGACAGACTTTGGAAGGATCTCCCATGGAATCCTATTGCAGCCAAGGCCATAAATTCTCCCTGGGTGCAGGACAATGGACTCATTGATAAGAAAAGAAACTGCAAAGAGGACTTTGGTCCTTGAAAGAGAAACCTAATATATGTTCCTTCATCTGGAATTTCTGGACCAGCTGTAAAACCAACAGACTGAAGAAGGAACCCCAAAGACTCACTAGGACCACAAGGTAAGGTTCCCGGGAGTTCCTCTGAGAAGCCTCCACAGAGACTGGGTGACTTCAGGAGAGACCTGGGCCCTAGACAGGACCTGGGAAGTGCCTCTTGGGAGCTGCAGGGAGTCAGGATCCTCCTGTAGGTGAGCAAATCCAGCCTGATGGGACCTCTCAGCAACCTGGCCTTGGAAAAGGGGAGCCAGGCCACCTGGGAGGTAACCGAGAGTCAGAACAGGTCCCTGAGGCTAGTTCCCATCTCTGCAAGGACATTGCAGTGTCCCCCTAGAAGGCTGGAAACCCTGCATCTTCTGGGAGACCCCTCTGAGTCCAGCCCTGGGTGCCTTGTGATCAGGATTGTTTAGGGCCTGGAGCTGGCGATGCAGGAAATCCTTCTGACAGACCTCCTGCTTTGCTCCTGATGGTTTCCTGGTAGGAAGCAGAACTGAATGGGTCTCGGGGGCCCCTTACAGGGCTCAGTCTTCTGTGCCCATTGTCAGGTCTTCAGTTGTCTTGTTTTTCACACATAGAAGAATGAAGCCTGCTCTGAAAAGGAAGAGAAAACTAATCCATTGTCTCAGGTCATGAAGCAGAGCCTGGCATGCAGCACAGTATTCGTGTTGAAAACAAAAGCTTTAATTCTCATAATTCAAACCTCAGCGTCAGCATTTCCTAGCTGTGTGTCTGTGCTCCAGTTACTTAACCTCTCTCAGCCTCCAGTACCTCAGCTGCAAAATGATCATAGTAATAATGTGTCACTGGAGGAACCGCCTTCCCCCTGCAGGCCTGTGAGGCGTAAGCACCGGTGGTGGCTGTGGTTGTTACTATGTCCCACTCCCCTAGGAAACCTGCCCTTCCTTCCCAAAGCCAGGAGTGCTCGGGTCTAAGAGGTTGCACGTGCTGCCTGCCACAGCCTCCCTTTGCACTGTGGAACCTTCTGCCGTTTGTGTGTCTCCTGGTGGATCTAAGATCCCTTTAGAACAGTGACAGCACCTTGAAGTGAGCGTAGCAGCCAGGAAGGATGAGTCTGAGGCCTGAGTCCACTACTGAGGGCTGAGCATGCACAGGCGGGCCCTTCCGGCTCACTGCCTCCTCTCCCTGCTTAGCAGAGATGTGGGTAAGAGCCACCTGAGCAAGAAGTCCTGGGGAATGGCTCAGCTGCCAGGTGGCAGACAGGACAGGTGTTTTCTTGAGCAATAGCAGAGCTGCACGGGCCTTGGAAACCAGCTAGAAGGTAGAAGAGGGAAAGCTAGGAATTTCCTGAATTCCCGCAGAGCCCGCGTTATCGACATTTGGGATCCAAGGAAAGGGAAGTCACGAGGAGAAATGGGGGGTGTTTCTGTACAGTCATGGGTCTCAATCTTCTGCAGCAGCAGGGTCACTTGGAGAGCCTGTTAAGCCACAGACTGCTGATCCCCACTCCTGGAGTTTCTGGGGAAGTGGTCTGAGAATTTGCATTTCTAGGAAGTCCTGAGGTGATACTGAAACTGGTCTTGAAAACCAGGATCGGGTTCTGGGTTCCCATCCCCCTCCCCCCCCCCCGTGTTTAATTTTAAACACCCAAGAAACAAAGTGGCAAGAGCAACGAAAAGTAAATATTATTTAACCACAGGACATGGAGAGGAGAGAGAGAGAGAAGGGGCGGGGACACTCCTTGGGAGAGGAGAGGACCCAGTAGGACTTGTGCCCCTGGGAGTGGGGGTGCCCCGCCCCTTTATAGGTTTCAGGTTTCCTTTTCTTCTCATGCTCCTCCCACCATCATGCCCAGGTGACCAGAAGGTGGAATGACCAAAGGTGAGAAAGGAGCACCCAGGGCGCACACACTAAGAACCCCTTGCATTGGGAGGAGCAATTCCCTGGAAGGTCTTTCCAAAAAAGGCCATTGAGTTAGTGCAGCCAGTCAGGTGGTGTCTTCATTTCCTTTCACATTTACCCTGATGTGAAGGGGTCCCCTTGGCTGTTCCTCGCTGGAACACTCGGCTGTGTTGGGCCTGGTCTTCACAGTTCACCCATTGCTTCTTACTTAAAGACTTGATCTTATTTTAATCAATTATTTTAACTTTATCCATTGATCTTTCATTAGCACACCCAAGGCCAGGGAGACCACAAGCAGCTGACACACAGCCTACACCTCAGGATGGCTCTGGTAAGTGCCTCTTGAATTTTAAGGGGAAATCCACACCGGGTCAACGGCCCATTGGAGGGGCTCGGTCCAGATCGCTGGTGTCAGGAAGGCTGAGGACCAGCCTCAATGTTGGCAGCTGTGCACACATTCTAATCCTACAAATCTCAGTTTTCCATGGGACCCAGTGAGTCCTTGGCAGAGTGCTCATCGCCCTCTGGGTCCACAGGGTTGGGTTATGGGTCTGGACTGCTGGGGGCGGGGGTGGGATGGGAGCATGACAGTGGCCTGTGAAGGACCTGGGTCCTTAATGCCTGGCACAGGTTTGCTGCCTCCTAATCCACCTCATTATTTAGGTGAATGCTCCTGCCAACTCCAGTGTGTCCTTAGTACAGGGAGGACATTAGCTGCAATTTGTATTCAACCAGAAGGTCGCCTGGGGACAGTCTCCCTCCAATATTCCTCAGAAACTCCTCCACAGAGAACCAACCAAGTCCCTGTCATTTCTCAGGAATGACAGCCTGGAGCTCCTCCCATTCCAGAAACAGTCCATGGCTCCCAAGTCAAAGTCTAAACACCCACCAGGGGCCTGGCTCTGTCCCACTGAGCCCCACAGGCACCTTCTTTACACTCTCCCGCTCACCCTGACTTCAGTGACTCCCATTTCCAGAGAGAGCGGGGCACGGGGACTACTGGGACTTCCCGCTGGGAAGGGACCCACCAGGGCTGCCCCGCTGCCCAGGGGGAGAAATGCTGCAGCCAGCGCTAGTTGAGGAGAAGAAAGCGGGGGAGGCTGGGGACAGACAAAGTCCCTGCATGGGTCAGGGCCACGAGGCACAGAGCAGGAAGTTTGGAATCATAAAATGTGGCTTCTAACGCCACTTCTGCCCATGCCTGATCTTAGAAAGAGAGCACTCCCCAGCCCCACCTTTCACCAGGTCGTCCCCTCTGAGCACAGGGTGCACTGCAGGACAGCTTTGCCCAGGGACACCCAAGGATGGGGGCTCTGGGACTGTGGGTCAGGCATGGATCATTTCCCATCAAATAAGAAAGCTCAAAGGGCGTGAGGGACCCCATTCCCAAGGAAGCCTTTACGAATAGAAGAATTTCGTTTAAAAACTATTTGTAAAACACCTGCATCATTGACAAGGGTCCTTCCTTCTGCTGTGAACCTTCTTGCTTGATTTAGCCGCCTTCGCCTGCCTTTCCCAGCGCCCTGAGGTTTCTTTCCCTCCCTCTCCTTTATCCCCCTTTCTGTCAGCTCTGAGTTACAATGATCCACATCTGTGCCTGTCTCCCTCATAGACTGGCCTCCTGGGTGCTCTTCCTGCCCATCTGTACCCCACAGATGCCTCTATTGCTCCAGCTCTGCCTGCTGGACACTCCTGAGCTCCTGGCTGTTGGCAATGCCATTGGGTGTAATTGCCATCGGGGACGCTGGACTGGCACCTGCCCTGGGCCACACAGTGCTTCTCTCCTACTTATTACCTCATATAAGGGGAACCCAAATGACAATTGGGACCATTCCTTGGCCTCTCGGAGGAAAATGGACTCCAATCAAACTCTCTTCCCAGGGCTGTGGGGGACCCCGAGCTCCTGGGCTCCCGGGAAGCACAGGCAGAGGGCTTCTATTTCCTTGGCTCCTCCTGATGCTGCTCAGTGACTTCAGATGGGGATCACTTCACTGGCTCTTTTCCAAAGGCAGAGTGGCCCTAATCCCTTCCCCAACAAAATGTCACTGTCACCCACCTAGAGGGTTGTCTCAGGAGCCCACTTTCCCTGAAGGTTCAGAGTGAGGGGAGGTTGCCATCAGAGGCAGAATCTGCCCAGTCCTGAACACCAGCCACCCCTGCTCTGGGCCCTCAGTCCCCCCAGCAGCCTGTTTCTGCAGCTCCGCCCGCCCCACGCTGCTGGGTGCCACCTCTGCTCTCGCCATCTCAATGTCCTCGCTGTCACTGGTCCAAACCCTCAGGGCCCTGTTCACTGCCCACACAGGACAGTCTAGCTGGTCACTGTCTTGCTCCCGGAGACCTCCCCCGTCACCTGAAGCCACCGTCCAGGTGTTGGCCCAGCAGCCACAATCCTCTCTCCTTGCAGTAGCCCCGGCCTTGAGGGGCAAAGAGCAACTCTTTCTACCCCCTTGGCCTCACGAAGCCCCAGGAGACATTCTCCCCTGAGCCTGGGAGGTGACCGGGATTTCACAGAAGCCAGGGGTGGTCCATCATGAGACCCGACTCCAGCTGAGACGTGTGGGTCCCAGAGTTGGCCTCACGGCCTCTCCTCCCGTCTGCTTCCAGCTCCCTGGGATGATCATTTTTGGAGCAACGCTCGCTGTATATGTTGTTATCAGGGTCTTAGCGAACAGAAATGCTTCCAGTCAGGTGAGTTGTGGGCCTCCTGAGTGGGTGGAGAGACTCCAGCTAGGAGAACGCTAGAGGGGTCTACAGAGCCTCCTCCCTGCCCGGGGGTTGGAGGGCCCTGACACCTATGGGCTCAGCACCTGCCTGTCTCCTTTCATCCTTAGTGATGTGTCTTGTGTGCGCCTGTTTTTCAGGAGGAAATGAATGACAGAAATGACCATTGAAGATACCAGTCCGACTCCTAGCCCCCTAGATACGAAAACTGAGATCAAATATGCAGATCAGCAAAAAGAGGACCTGCCTCTTCTCTGCCTCCATAACCTGATTCCTTTCTTTCCTGACAAGCTGAGGGCAAGGTCTCCCCCAGCTCACACCCTGCACTGCACCCTTGAATTCAACCCAATGAGTCACACTTTTCTTCTGTTAAAGGGAGAGGGATTTCACATTAATTTTAGCACCAAGGTCTTCCTTAAGGAGTGTGTTCCTATATGCTTATGGGGGGACATCTTTGTGCAGGCTTTGTGCACACATGTGTCTGTAATTCTCTGCCTTGGGCTTGTGGGTAAGGTGGAAAATATCTAGGCACCCATCTTCTTTCAATCATTCATTAATAAATATGGATTAAGTATCTGGTGTGTTGCAAGGTCGATTCAAGTCAGGATGAGGGTAAACATCATGACCATGACATTGTCCTTGACCTCAAGGGACCTCTGGCCTCAAGAACACACAATAGCGCCCACCATGCATATTAGTCAAGTTTTTATTAGTGTAATAAGAGGCCCGAGACAGGCCACCTTTGGAGAAAGGAGAGATCAGCTAATAGTTGTGAAGTTTGAAGGGCCTGGCACCCACACGGGCTCTGTTGTAAGGAGGACATCATGGCAAATGGTGCTGGCAACCATGGGGGCCCTTGTGGAAGACAGTGGTCCCTTCTGGAACCAGTTGCAGATAGGACTGGGTGGACACAGTGTCCGTGGCTCCTTTTATAGCCCCTCTTCCTGCAAGCACCACCAAGAGAGGGGCACAAGAAGTACCTCTTGCCCCAAAGGACCTGAGGGACTTTTACCAGACCCCACCATCCACAGCTCCCACCACTCCCAATAGCCCCAAGCTTGAGGACCCAGACTTTATCCACAATCCATGCAAGGGGGACCCTCCACCCCTCCCTAGCCACAGCGGCAAGTGAACTAGTTTCTCCAACAGGTGACAGCTGGGCAGATGGACCCCAGGGATGGGTGAGGGGTGAGGAAAGCAGAGAGTAGGAGGAGCCTGGTGGAGGAGCCAGCGTCTGAGTGGGCAGCAAGGCCGGGGGCGTTTCCTTGGGGTAATGAGGAGCCGTGGGACAACATGCAGTTGTCATGGACAATGATCAGTCCTCCCTATGCTGTCACCACTGATGCCACAGAACCCAAGCCTGGGAAATGGCTCTGGAAGGAAAGCTTCCAGAGCCAGGAGGCTGCTACATGGTTCCTCATAGAGGATGAGGCCTGATCCCAAGGGGCACAGTGACTGTTGCCTGATTTCTTTTTTTAACGATCTCTCTCTCTCTCTCTCTCTCTCTCTCTCTCTCTCTATATATATATATATATATATATATACATATATATATATATATATACATATAGAACTAATATATAAATATTAGTTCTATGTGGACACAGTGTCTTTATTTTACTTTATGTGGTGCGGAGTATTGAACTCAGTGTCTCACGCATGCTAGGTGAGCGCTCTACCTCTGAACCACAGCACAATGACTTCAATATTTACAAACACAATAACATACATATTGGTAACCATGGTGACCATCTGATATCCGAAAAGTGAATTTTGATGAGTTTTAGGTATGATCCCTAATGTGCCAGTTTTTTCAGACTTTCCTGCCACAGATGCACTGCAAGATGTTTTGGTTTCTGATTGTTTAGGTCACTGAGTACAAAATGCCTTGACTCTTGTAAGTCGATTTAGCCTCTGAGTTCCTCTGAGAAGGGGCTTCTAGGTGTCCTGGTGTCTAGCATGCTGACCCTCTGCACCTGTGCCCTCTCTGCCCAGGAACCCTGGATGCCCATCACCTAGTTGGTAAACGTGGAGATCACAAGACCTCAGGTGGATTCCTGTTTTCCTTTCCCCAGCCAACCTTTCATGTAGGTTGGAGTGTGAAATGGAGACCTTGTAAGCATCCTGGCTATAGTTTTGTGCCTCTTTGAAAGAACCCCTGGGAGTATTCTTCAAGAAGGGATGTTAGTCCACAAAGAAGCAATAAGATTTTAGGAAATAAAAATCACCACTGCACGAAACGCCATGGAGAACCACGAAAGCACCATGGCAGATGAGAGGGGACACAGAGCGCCAGGCATCGTGTGGTACTGCGAACAGAGGCTCCCTTGAAATTGTCCCTTTGCCTGAAGGGGATTTTCAATGCCTGGAATTAGGAAATCCCAGACAATAAAAGTACATCTTGATAAAGGAAATATGGCACATTATTTCCTAATTCTAGACCAGCCCTACCTGGATTGTTCTGCAAACCAGGATACGAATACACTGAGCTCTTAAGAGGGGACCACCTCTCAGGCCATTCTCTGAGGGCTGGGCAACCACGTCCCCTCACCTCTCTCTCCACATCCTTCCTCATTGCTGCCTGAAGGGCTCCATCAGATTCCACACCATCTTCTTCTACAGATCCCTAGCTCTCAGCCCTGACCACCTCTCAGCAGCTCATCCATCCTGTGAGAGCTAACCCACCCCAAGAGGCCAGCACTAATCCCTTCATAAAGGAAACCATGACCAGTCAGTCACCTCCTGCTAGCCCACCTCTTAGAGGCCCCTGACCTTTCAATACAGTTACCTGGACAGCACGTTTCTAGCATGTGACATTTCAAACTCTATCCAAAGCTGTCCAATAAACACCTGGTAGGTGGAGACAATATTCTGGAAAACAAAAGGAAGCAATTAACATTTTTTGAGTAGATCCCTGTCCTGTTATTTCTACTCAATGCCGTTCCATCGGAATGATGTCACTTTGCATTCAGACAGTGCAGAGAAGATTTATTTATTCTCTAGCAACAAGGAATCTGAAGAACCTGGGGCTCAGGAGGTTTAGCAATTGCCCTAATTGACACTGACAGTCCTTGGTGCCAAACTGGATTGGAATCCATGTCCCTCTTCTCTAGAGCCCATGCTGGTTTGCCGCTGCAGTGCTGGGCACAGGACACAAAGAAAGCACACAGTAGTGGCCATGATGATGACGATGACGAGGTTGTTCTTTGTGTGCAGAATCATGATGTTGCAAGCTACTCACTCACAGAGGGAATGAATGGTCTTGACCCACCTGCTGGTCTCTTGCCCTTGATGTTGACCCTGGTGTTGCTCTTGATGACCAGAAGCTCCCTGGTGAGACACATTAAGGTGGGATCTGGACATGCAGGACTATGGTTAGGGGAGGGGTCTTTTCCTGGCAAGTAGGGGTGACAAACAAGAACTAAAAATAAAAAAATAAAATAAATCCAAGGGTAGACATCAGCAGCCCTGCAGCCTCCAAGGCCTAATGGGGCGGAGTAATTGATTTCAGCAAAATTTTATTCTACAAAACACAATCTCAGGAAATTAAGCAAATGGCCGGTAAACAGCCAGGTAATAAACAGCACTTCCTTCTCAACCACGCGTCCCTCACAAAGTCGGCAAAAAGCCAGCAGAGCACAGGAATGGGAGTGGGGCGAGACCAAGACAGGGCCCCAAAAGTCATCCTTGGAAAAACTCTAAATCTTTTGAACTTGAGAAAAGGAGCCTTCCCCACCCCAGGGAGTGGCCAGGATGTGCCAGATGAAGGGGACCTGACTATTATCCCCGGTAATGTGGGAGCTCTGGAGATCCTGAGGCCGCTTTGCAGGCACAGGGGGACCTGGGATAGGCAGAATGGTGAGGGGGGAGGGGGTCTGGATGTGGATTAAGGGCAGGGTCCTGGGGAAGAAAGGGCTAGTTGCAGTTCTCTCTGGCAATGGGCTAGCATCAGAGGTGTCCAGTCCTCATGACAGGTGGCTTTCTCTGCTTTGTTGCACTGAACCTTAGGTGACCCCCGTGAACCCTATTTCTGAACACTTCTGCCCCAGAGGACTGGCTTGCTGAGTTCAGCTCTAGGAAACTTTTCGGGGGGCGTTCTCTGTGCTCCTCAGGTGCCCCAATAAGGCACCGCTGACTCCGGGGCTGGTTCATTCATTGTTTTCTCTCTCAGTTCTGCAGGGTAGAAGTCGGAGATCTGAGGCCTGCAGGGCTGGATCCCTCTGAAGGCGTGAGGGGAAATCCGCTGCACACCTCTCTCCTGGTTCCTGCTGATTCGTGGTCACATCTGGTGCTCCCTGGCTCACAGGTGAGCCACCCAGCTCTGCTCTCACGCTCACATCATGCTCACTCCCCAGGTTCCAGTCTTCCCCTGCATTGCAAGGAGTTCATTCATTAAAGGAAGAAAAAGTCAACAACAACCAACAAGACCTGATATTACAGCTCAAAGCCCTAGAAAAAGAAGAACAAACCAATACCCAAAGAGTAGAAGACAGGAAATAATTAAAATCAGGGCAGAAATCAATGAAATTGAATCTAAAGAAACAATTCAAAAAACTGACAAAATAAAAAGCTGGTTCTTTGAAAAAATAAATGAAATTGTCAAACCCTTGGCCACTTTTATGAAAAGGAGGGAGAAAACTCAAACTAGTAAAATTTGAAATGAAAAAGGAAATATCATGACAGACACTGTTGAAGTGCAGAAGACAACTAGGAACTATCTTGAAACTTTATACTCCAATAAAATTGAAAACCTTGAAGACACCAACAAATTTCCAGAGGCATATGATCAACCCAAAGTGAGTCAAGAGGGCATACACCATTTAAACAAATCAATTTCTAGCAAGGAAATAAAGACACCACCAAAAGCCTACCAACCAAGAAAAGCCTGGAACCAGATGGATTTACAGCTGAGTTCTATAAGATCTACAAAGAGAACTAATATTAATACTCCTCAAATTATTTCATAAAATAGAAAAGGAAGGTACCTTTCCAAACTCGTTCTATGAAGCTAGTATCCTCCTGATATCAAAACCAGGCAGAGACAGACACACAAAGGAAATAAAATTTCAGACCAATATCCCTGATGAACATTAATGCAAAAATTCTCAATTAATTTCTGAGAAATTGCAGACAAAAACATATTTAAAAATAGAGCACCATGATCAAGTGGGGTCCATTTAGCGATATAAGATTGGTTCAAGTCAATAAATACAATTCATCACATCAGTAGACTTAAAAATAAGAATTATATGATGTAGGTATTCTGATCATGGACCTAGACAGGGAAACGATCCCCAGGAGAGCAAACTCCCGGGGTGTGTGGGGTAACTGGCACCCTGATTCCCTTGTTGGAATGCCCAGTAATTCCCTGCTGAGGCTATTAAGATAACTAGGCAGATGCACTACCTGGTTTACATAGTGACATCCTCTGAAGGAGAGAGGCTCTGTGTTTGCATTAACCTGGACCTTATCTCAGCTAGCACTCAGGGTGAAAGGAATATGGTCAAAGTGTAGTCACTGGTGGTGGGTAATATGTAACTTTTTGGGTGATTATAAACATCGGCAGAGAAGTGT